CCCCCCCCCCTCCCCAAGCTCATCCCTGCAGGCTCATCCCTGCAGGGCTCTTTCCAGCGGCCGAGAAGAGCTGAAGTGAAACACCAGCCAAGCCCACAGGCCTTTCTTTCCACATTGTTATTCACCATCTGGCCTGTACCTCTGGCCTGACGCCTGGATCCATGCCCAGTCCTCGCCTGCTTGGCCAGTTGGAGAGTTTGGACCTGCAGAATGATGCTGGATGCTCCTGCCCAGGCTCTCCAAGTGCAGCCAGGGCAGCACAGGCTGCAGAGCTCACTGGGTGGGCTCAAGGGTTCCACGTGCAGAGCCAGGCACATCTCATAACACTTGTGTGCCCACTAAAACCAGCTCCGATGATGAGCGTGTCTGCATGAAACCTTTGTCATTGCACATAGGGCACAAGCCATATCGACATATGTCCATGCCACTGACTCGCCAGGGGATGGCAACAGGCCACAGAGACCAGCTGCCAGGTCCACTCACGGTGGGGGGGAATTGCAGACGCCTGCTCCCGCTGCGGCACTGGAAAAAAACAACCCACCAGCATCTGAAAACCAGTTTATTGCCCCAGGCCTCTGGAGGTTGTTTGTTCATCTCATTTCATTTCGACACCTCATGTGAGAGGCTGGGAGCTGGCATTTCAATGTTCTGGTGGTGCCAGCTCTGAGATTGTTTTATTTGATTTACCGTCCAAATTGGGTGGATGGGTGGAGACTGAATTTTCCCTTTATTTTTGTTTTCAAAAAAACCCTTCTGGCTCTGGGTGAGGCAAAAGTTGCTGAGTAGTTTCATGTCTATCTCCTTTGTGACAGTTACATGCCTACAGCGGCAGGCCCACAGCCCTGCTCCTCCGAGCTCAGGGCTGGAGTCGGAGCCGTGCAGGTAAAGCCCTCAGCCTGACTACAGCGAATGCTCCCTGCCCCATCACATAACATTTTTGTCTTTTCTTTCCTCAAAAGCCTGGAAACAGCTCCTGTATGAGCCTGTCTTTCCTTCCTCTGCCCTAGGGGTAAAAGGAAAACAAGGTTTTTAATATGAGAGGAAAATAAGGGGGCAGCAAGTGGAGGCAGATGATGCTGCTAGTGAGGGGACTCGTGCTGGAGGGCAGCCCCTAGCCACATGGTGGGGTCAGGACAGGACCAGCCTGGTTGTGCGCTCAGCCCTGCTGATCTTCTCAATGGCACAGAAGTGATTGCCAGGAAATACTGGCCAAGCTATTGCCCAGCCTCATTTCAAACAGCTGCAGTGAAGGAGTTTAGTTACCAAAGATCCCCAGGAGGTGCCTGGGGCCATAGGCACTTAACACCCGTAGGAGCTCTGAGCAAACACTTTCAGAGTAACCGTCCACACACCAAAACACAGAACTAAGAGCAAGTCTTAGGGATGTGACAAAGTATATAGGCACTCTCTCCAGTGCTTCTCTATGCTGTGTGCTTCTGCAGGCAACAAATCTAGCCCTTGCAGCACCTCCACAAGCAAAGGAGATAAGAAGGTTTCTCCCATTTCACGCATGGTCTCAAAGAGGAAAGAAATTCATGCGTGCTTTCCAAAAGCTCAGACCTTAGACCCACCTCCCACAGTGACTGATGTGCAGTCCCTGCTTGGGCCCAGCAGACTAGGAGGTCCACCCTGCTCATGCCTCACACGCCTTGGTGATGCCACTGAGGTTTCCTGGCAGCTTGTGCTTGCCTACACCGCTAAGAGCCACCTGAGAGGGAAAAGCAAATGCAATACTCACAGCCACTTCAGGGACTGAAAAAGCACTACTTTCCATCAGCAGCCTGGCTAATGAACACCCACCCTGCCAGACAACCCTCTGTTCAGCAAAAGCCTAGCACTTTCCTCCCGCTTTTGGTTGATTACCTCTGCCAGGATCTGCAGCGGTAACTTGGCAGGCTACAGAGCTGCGAGATCTGGAAGCCTCGACCCCCTGCCTTGCCAGGGGTCCTGAAACCCTGCCTTACGTCAGAGGTCACACAGCAGAGAACTACCGCCACGCCTGCCTGCCCTTTGGCTCTTGGGACATAGCACCCATTACTTGGAGCTGCAAACACTCCCATTCGGGATTAACTGGGCCAAATCTGCAAATCCCATTTGCTCTGGGAGCCTAAGGAATCTTCAGCCGTTCACCTTGAGGTGGAAGGAGCTACATCCTTTCTCTTCTTTCAGACTAATTACACTGAAACAAAGATGAGATATGCAATACCAGGAATGTTACCAAGACTGTGAGTCTTCCACCCATCGGCATTAGGTGGGAGCTTCAGATGGCATGAATACAGATGCAGGCAGCTGGCGTCCTGCTCCTCTTACTCAACCACTGGCACCAGGAGACAAATGACAACGAATACACTGATAGCCCTAGTAACAAAACAAAATTTCCAGGTCAGAAGCTCTTGTTGGACAGTCCATCCTCCAGGCTATGAGTAAGAGCTACCATCCCTCATCCCCTCTTTGCACCAGCTGTGAACACTGTCCAACAGTGGCATCACTGCTGGTGTGCACCATGATGGTGCATACATGACATGCAGGGGAGTCCAGCTGTGCCACATGGTGCACTGGTGGCATTGCCTCAGATCCCCCTCCCATGGCCTGCCATCTCTGAAGTGCAAAGTGCTTCTTGCTGCCAGCACTCCTGCTCCTCCCAAGGACTAATGCTCCTGCCACTTCTCTAGCAAGAAGCCAGCTGAGCCGGGGCCACCTGCAGCAGTAAGTAGCCTGCTGCCACAGCTTTCTAGGCCTTGCCTGCTCTCCGTATCCTATATTTGGTCAAACACCTCTGAGTTTTCAGGAAAGCCCAGCAGGACCCTTTGCTTCCCCCTCCCTGTCCAGCCCTGCAGGACATCAGTCACCACTCAGCTGGGCCATGCTAGTCTGGGGAGGGGTAATGGGATAAATGCACCAGAAGGACTCAGGGCTCTTCCCCACTAGCTTTCTCCCATTCAAGTGGAGGTCACAGGAGGAGGAGAAAGGCGAGGTGCTGCCCAGCAAACATGGGCCACCTCTGGGAGCAGGCCCCATGGGGTATCAGGTACAGGCTCTGCAAGGTGGCATTAGCCAGACCTTCTCCCTCTCACAGCTGGCCACCCTGGCCAGCATTGCTCTTCTCTTTTTCATAATGGGGAAGCTCACAAGTAGCTAAAGCAGTATGAGTAGGAGGCAAATCAGGCCTTGGATGCTTGCTCACATTAATAGACATATGGACACCCTTTGTCCTTTGGACACCCTTTTCTGCAGCTCGGCCTCACTGGGTTTGATTTGACTGTCTCAGCTAGCTGAGCTCTTCCTCAAAGATCATTCTAGATGCCCTGGCCTAACCAGGCATGCAGGGGTTAACCATCGCTCTCCTGGGCTCTGCATCAGTTTGCTTTAAACGGGGCGGAAGGAAGGCTGTACCTTGTTGCTGCTGAAAAATGTAAAAAAAAGAGTCAAATGCTGTGGCTTTCTATAAGGAGTTAGTGAAGGAGATGAGCTTAGGGTCTAACTCACCTTCCACCCACTGCCAACCAGTCGTTTCTTCTACTAGAAACTAGTCAGGACTTTTGTATTTTATTTTTAAGCAGAGTGTGTGAGACCAGAGAAGGGGCTTTGAAAGATGTCCCATGGGAAAATTTCAATTTAGTCAAAATAATGGATAAATTTTTGTTCAGGAAAAACAAACAAATTGAGATTTGCCTCATTTTCACCAAATTTGGTTTAAACTAAATGCAATTTTTTTGTTTGATTCAGGTCTCACTCTTGAGGCTCTGTGGGTTGCTCAGCTTCTGCAGCAAGTCACAGAAACTGCGGTTTGCACTTACAGTCTGACTGTCTGGTGGGACAGCATCTCAGCTCCTGTGAGACGCTGCAGGGTCTCTGTGAGGGGTATGACCATGCTGCTCCCTGAACAGCAGGGTACTGCTACAAAATGAAAACCAAAAAATTAAAAATAAATTTTGGTCAGATCTTTCCAGATGGCAGCCGATCACAGCCTGCGTGGGATACAGAATGTCTTCACCTTCACCTCCTCACCTGCCCATCTTCAGCTGGCTACTAACATCCTTGGCAGGGATTTAAGTTGTGTCCGATTTCCTCACCTCCAAGGCAAGGCTGAAATAATCTGAGACATCTGCTGCCCATGGCCTGACTGTAACGTACTTGCCTTAATAGTTACTTGCTAATATTTTACCCTTGGGTGAAATGATAAGGTTCAGGGCCAGGTGGAACACGTTCAGCTGTCTCCTGCTCAGGGCAGGCTGACTCACTCCTCTTATAGTTGTGCAAACCTAATTTGTGGGTGGTTTTGGTGCATGTGTTTTCACCTTAAGCCCTTACCTTCAATGCATAATATAATCCAGTCCTGCTGATAGCTTCTAAACACTGGGGTGCTTCTGCATCCCTAAAGGAACAGCATGAAGAGACGAATTAAGCAACAACAAAGGCTGGAATATAAACTAAACTAGTATAGAAATCACTGCCTCGCCACCCATATTACGTAAAGCTGGAAGTCCCTGAACAGGACTTTCAAAGCATGCTGTGGGTTTAGGGCTCAGGCCAGAGCCTAAATGCCAATAGGAAGGGGAATGGCTCACGCATGCTGCTGCTCAGGGTTTAGTACTCACTCAGCGTGCAGGCGCTCTGCATCACCCTTTGGAGGGCCAAAAACTGCCACATGCGGACCTGTCCTAGGGGGAGGGGTGCTGGAGCCTGCTTTGGGCCAGGCTTCTGAAACATGGGCATCGCAGCACCTTTTAGACACCTTGCCCCGTGCATCTGACATGATCCCCCCTCAGTCTGGTTTTTATGAAAAGCCATGGCAAATTTTCTGGTCATCTTCAGGTTGCTAACTCTCCTCTCTAGGTTTAGCACCAGCTGCTTGAATGTGTCCTTGAACTAATGAATCAATGCATTTATCTCACATTGCACCATGACACATGGGTAATTTAATGCAACTATGTACTCACACCTTTAATTAATCAAAGGCTTTTTCAAGTAGAACTTTGCAATATTTTGTTTCCTAACATCCCTGCTATAAAGTACTAGAGTCTGTTGTAACATTTCTTACCCAATTCCAGTGCTGAGGGCTATGGAGCCTACAAATTGGAGCATATGTGTAGAAACCTTCAGCATTGTCTCCAGAGGAGGTTTCCAAGGAACTGGGAGCCAAATTAACCAAAGAAACTCATAAAGGGAATGAGGCTCACTGGAGAAAAAAAAAAAAACCCAGGCAACCTCAAGAAGAAAATATGAAGGACACAGCAGATTCCTGAGTGCCATTTGGGAAGCTCAGGAAAAACTAAAGGAAATCAGAGCCTGTCCTAGAAAAACCTGAACACACCTGGACAGGGTAACTAGTTCTAAGATGTGTCTCAGCCCTGCTTCCAAGGGACTAAGGGACCTCCCCAGCATCTTACCTTCTCTTTCAGAACTGCTCCTGCCCAGCTTCAAGTTGCAGCAGCAGTTCTGCTGCTAAGAGGGGAAAGAAAAGTGCAAATAAGGACTGGAGATGGCCAGGTGCTTGGAAATGCTCAGACTAAATGCTGAATGACTGGAAAAAAACCTTGACAAATGCTTACTCACACCTTAGAGCTGAGCTTGCAGATCACACCTTTGGGCGCAAATGAGCGGTGCAAACACACCCTTCCCTCAGGGTCTCCCTGCAGGCCACAGCCACCTTCCCCAGGAAGGCCAGGCTGGGACCTGGAGGCCGGAGCAGGGGTAAGCGATGAGGCGCGCCAGCTTCAGCATCGAGGAGAAAGCCAGTGTGGTCTGAGCATGGACTGGGTTTGCCTGGAGCTCATCAGTGCAGACACCAGATCACAGGCAAGCACTGCCCCTGACTGCCAGCAAGGGGCAAGACACATCCCTCGCCACCTCCCAATCCAACATGGGGCCTCTCTCCTGCGGTCCCCCAGGCAGGGGTAACAATGAACCTTCCCTATCTTCTGCCCTCTGATCTGTAAAAATGTCCCTTTGGAAAAGCTGGTGCACAGCCTGAACTGCGGTGGGAACATGTGCAGGGCTAGGGGCTGCTCTCACATTTGGCCTCCTCTCGGGCAGAACCACATGTGGGCAAAACAAGCTCAGCGAGCTTTTACAGCACACACACTAACAGGTAAATGGCTCCAGAGCCAGCTCGTGGCTTCTGAGCCAAAAGCCCTCTGGGGAGGCCATGGGGGGGAGAGCCCCTGCTCTGCACGCAGCACCCTCCTGAGCAGCACAGGTGCACAGCAGGGTGCCCGGGTGCCGCAGGCGGGCTCAGCCTTGGCAGGGCACAGGGCACCCCACCCAGACTCGCTGAGCTGGCTCCCGCCGTGGCGTGGGAGCCCAAAGCCGGCCGGGGGTGCTCCAGCCAGGTGGAGCTGTGGGGGTTCCTGGGTGCA